GTCGATTTCAAATCGATCTCCTCCGAGAAGATACTTGTAATCATTTGATGACATTCTCGTGGAGGAATTTCAAGCTTTGCTAACAAACACTACCGCACAATAATCTTAAAAAAGTACGAAAAGGTGCCAACCAGTATAAGTTGTCCTTACGTGGAACGCGATGACCATATGCATGTTCTTTTCCAAGCTAAAGACAATATTTCTATGGAGGACTGGTTCACTCTAAAAAATACTCGGCAGAGTGTTCCCCCGGCTGGCGGGGGCGGACGGACCGGATGTGGACAGGATGAGTGGAGAAACGAATACTTTCACCCTCGGACCGGTGGTGTGAGAAGGCGTGGAATATTCTGGAACAATAATGTGATTGGTTGGAAGTGTGACTAATAAAAATCTTATTGATCACTTTTTAGCCAATAGGATTTCCTGCGAAAAACTATATAAACTGCGCTACACTCGCCCAGTTTTCATCCTACTCTTATGGAGAATGGCAGACGATTTGAGCAAATACCGTCCACCTCTGACCGGCTTGGATCTGAACGATCCAACAGTCCAAGCTATCTTGCAGACGACCCCTTCCAGCTCTATGAGGGACAACGGCTATTCCCCTCTTCTCAGAGATTGGGAGGCGTGGGAGAAGCACAGGAAAATCAAATACTTGATGGGATTGCTGAAGAAAATTCGGCAACAAGTGATTACATTCCCGTAGAAAGAATTCCAGAGCCTGCTTTCAGATCCTACTATACACTAATAGTAAGAAACTATCGAAAGGTTCTGACAAGTAATAGCTGCTTATATGTGGAGCATGACGACCATATGCACGTTCTCATACACGCTCGAGACAACGTGGGGAGGAAGATTGACCGCGCCTTAATGATTGCTTGGTCAGTGCAGATGACTGGTGGTTTATAAAGAATACACAAATAACGGTTCGAAATGTTTATCGCATTATACAGTATTTCAAGCATAGAGGTACTGTTGTGGAAGTGGGGTCCGAATTACACGAGGAATGGCTCAATGCCCAAGACATGCCTTCCATTGCACCCAACAGTCCATGCAGATCAGACACACGTCGAGCACAAACCAAAGCAGCATTTGCCCAACGTGCAGATTCCCGTCAAGCTAAGTTCGATGGCCTGCATGCTGAATTGATGCGACGAGATATTCGACAGTTTGACGAAATATTGCATAAGTTTTTCGTGAAGGGGATTACGAAATTAAATTCCTCCATGGGCGTTCAATGGCGCGAAATAGCCAAACAGCAAATTCAGGGTATGAATGCTGAGCGCCTACAGGAGGAAAAGAAAACAATTACCTCCAGAATCTGGAAAAACTGGAACATGAATGCACTGCTAAGAATCCTCGTAACGTTGAAATTGGTACCAATTGGCTAATGATGCTACTCAATCAAAACGGTATCAACATTGAAGAATTGCTACACGATATCGTGATGATTACGGATAAGGCCACTCCAAAAGTCAATACATTATGCTTCAAGGGTCCAACTTATACTGGAAATACTCTGTTAGCAGGTCTCATCACATCACATTTAACGGTAAGGAGCAAAGACAATCTAATATCATATATGCACATAAAGTAACAGGGCATCCCGGCATTGCTCCGCGAACTAAGTCCGAATTGATTTGTACATGCAAGTTGTATTGCTTGATACATGAGCACATTTGATGTAACATTGTCTTTGTACCTTACATATTGGAACAGTTTGCCGCCGAGGGGACCAAACAGCGTTCCATTTCGATAAACTTTTGAATCGTACTGTGGCTTTAATGGAAGAACCACGAATTACAATGACAACAAAAAACGACTACAAGAATCTTCTCTGCGGTGATCGGTTTGAATTTGATGTGAAGTATGGCGCCCGGCGATTCCTTTCGCGTATACCAGTGACAGGGCATCCCATGGCCGTAGACCAATCAGAACGCCCCAGGCGGTTGGCGGGGGCGGGCGGACCAGACGCGGACAGGATGACGGATAAACGTATAGTTTTACCCTCGGATCGGTGGTGTGTGAAGGTCCGGGAATAGAGATGACAGACGTGCTAAGCAGAATACAAGGTAAATAGTCTCTTTGTTTATATACCCTTTTATTATGAAAAGGCAGTTTATGAATTATTTATTGAGACATTTGTTTTTTTTACAACTTTATTGAATTCCTCCAATTTGGCATCGTGATCACGGAGTTGGTCTTGCCATTTTCTAATGGCTTCCATAAGTGGCTCGTAATTGCTATTTTTCATATCAATAGGCAATTCGAGTAAATCACTTCTTCTCCCAGTTGCTGTTTCTGATCTAGTATGCGGTTTGCGAACATCGTATCGATAGAGATTCCGTTAAATGTCATTTATACTCAACCTTTTATCGGTGCTATTTCGTTGAATATCTCTAGCTAAGGAGTCACTAAATTGATTCAGATCATCACTGATTCTATCCAAATCGGCGCGATAACGTTGTGCTAATCTCATGTTTTCCATTCGCTGTACAGTCCATTGCTCGACGGATGTATTCCGATGCGGATAACTTTTGGTACATTATTAGGCTTCGGTAACCTTGACGCCATATTGTTCTGACGAATTAGGGGGGGTATGCGTCATCGCATGTTCCAAATGTTGAGGGGGAACAGCTGTTACTGTAGCAGTTTCCATAGGGGGGGCTCAAGGGATCCCACGGCATTCATTGGTGTGTTTAGATCTTGTTCCAACGATTGATGTGTTTCTATTTGGTTTTCACTCTCGGCTTCTGTGTTATTTCCCCCCCCCCCCCTCATTACCATCTGGAGGTTCTTCCTTAATGAGTCTTTGTTCTTCATCCTGAACACCTGCGTCCTTGTGGTTGATTTATGGCTCTTTGTCCTCCGAAACATTTGTTTCAGTTTCAAATAATCTCTTGATTAACTCTAAACCATTGTCAACTACGTTTGTAGATTGAGAAAATGGCACTTCAGTAACATCGGCTATTTGCTGTACTGAATTCGTTGTCGTTGTGAAAGCTTGTCCTAAACCTGTGCTAATGGCTTCTGTTAATCCTCTAACAACTAGACCAGCTAAAGCACCTCAAATTGAACCATATATAGCTTCTTTCTGAGTATCTTCATCAACGAAAATGCTCTCTTCCTTTTTCACTTTCTTGATTTCCGGTTCCTCCTCTTGCTTAATTTCTTGCTCGAATTCTGGTGGTTCCCACTTATATCCGAATTGGATAGGCAATTCAGTTTGAGTTGATGCTGTGGACTCTCTGGGCATTCGATTGTGCGCTTGCACGCAAATCTATTTACACGGTGAAACCACGCCAATAAGGTAGTCATTAACCGTGAGCATACCACGTTCATAGTGTATACTCTCAATTGCATTAACAGGGATATCAATCTCCTCTACAACACGTCCGCCCTCAAAAACGACAATCATATTAATGAATTATTTTATTTAATATATAAATCAAATTGTTCATCTTCACTCAATTTGTGCTCTTTGAGTGGGAAATGACGAATTCGAACACAGTTGGCCTTGATGTAAGATTCCTTCTCAGTTGCCGGTACATGTTCAGGTAAGGAATGGAAGGTCACTTCAAGCTCAGTTTCTATCATGACATTGCCATGCACAAAGACCATTTCCGTGGATTGATCCAAACAGTTTTGGAAAGGCATTTGTAATGCTATTATCTGATTATCGGGTCCTGGTGGTTGGAAGTTAGTACACTTCTTCATCATGAAAGACTGCATTGTAGTCTCGTGATAGTATGTGGAAGTTGTTTTCATCGGCTGAGATTAGTGGATTTTCATAGAAATATCTAAATGGTGGATTAGGTATTTTAAGTTCATGATGGAATTCTCCCGATGGTCCAACTGTTTTAACAACAGGCATGTCCATCACATTTATGTCAGATGCGTAGATACCACATTTACTGCATATTGTTTCGTACTTGCACAAATCTTTAACTGGTTTTATATGTTTGGAAAACCGTCTTTGCTAATCCCAACTAGCATATAGTTGGAGTTATCAAATTGCACTTTGTCCACAGAGACAACACCTCCAGTAGCTTGCTTTGTCGATGGTAGTAATCTACTAACTTTATTTCGTGCCATACCAAATGAAACAAATGGATATGTTTGAATCCACTTTGAATTTAACACGGCCGTATTGTCTCCATGCCAGTACTTGTAGATAAAAGGCTCTAGAAATGAGGTATTTAGAACAAAAGCTGTTTGTGCAGATTTTTCCGTTGCATTTTCATAAAGACCAGGAACTGTCACCATGAATCTATTTCTAAAGATTGTTGAATGCCCTGTATAGCTATATGTTAATAATTTTCTAAATGGCATGGCTGGATTTGACATAGAAGTTGTTTTATTTTCTGATCCTCCCACAGCTTTTGCATCTCTAGTCTCTCTACTCAATACCTCTTCCTCGGGTACTGGTGCATCGTCTGCTCTCTCACCTCCCATCTTTTTTATGCCAACTTAGCAGAAACAACAACTTTTATACATGCAGAATAAACATTTATTGTATTGATACATTTAAACAATTAAATTTTAGGGGGCAACCGAATAAGGAATCCATCCTCTTCAATGTCGTATTCATCGGATGTCGTCCTCTTTGGTGTTTGGTAGATGATTTCAGCATTTACAGGAATGTCTATTTCTACAACATTGTCGCCGTAAAAGCCATATCGTTTAAACAAATCGCGAAGATGGCAGGTACACAATGTTACCGGCGCTTTAGGAATTGTACCTTTGATCAATTCCGATGTAATTTGTTCTCTCAAATTGTACTCTTTCACCCGTGAATAGAGAGCCGCCCTATCAATGGAAGTTTATAAGGCACCAAGGTCTTCGTTGGTAGTACCAACAATTGGCATTCTGGTTAAGAACCTCTTTGCACCGTACTTTACGTCAATTTCAAATTCATCTCCACCTAGGAGATTCTTAAAGTCGTTTTTAGTAGTCATAGTGATACGGGGTTCTTCCATAAGAGCGACCGTCCGATTGAGTAAATTATCGAAGCAGTCTATCTTCCTATTGACATTGTCCCTCGCTTGGAACAGAACATGCATATGGTTGTCAAGTTCTACGTAGAGACAACTAATTGATGTTGGTACTTTCGCGTAGTTTTTCAAAATTATGGTGTGATAGTATTTAATACCAAGTTGTGGAACTCGTTCCACGGAAACGTCATCATTTGGCTCCGAATTCTCCTGAGCCATCCTAAAAGATACTTCAGCTTCCTCCCTCTCTACCACGTTTCCCAATCTTTGGGAAGACGGGAAAAGCTGGTGCCCTTCGTGGAGGTCGTTATCAATAAAGCTTGGACTAGGGGATCGTTCAGATCCAAGTCCGCGAGAGGTGGACGGTACTGGCTCAGCTCGTCGGTCATTGCCCATTTGTTCAAGATGAAAGGCTCTGGGAGTAGCGCGGCTTATATAGTTTTCCACAAGATTTTCTATTGGCTAACAACTAGCCAATAAAAACTCTTTGACGCCTCCATCCGACCAATCACAGTTAAGTTCTAGAATGGGTGAAATTAAGGAAGAAATGCGAGAGAAGTAGAAATATGGAAGAATATGCCCGCCATACAGCTCTCGGGTTACTGCCAATCAGACCTGCGTCAAACACGTATGCAATCAATAGCTGAAACAAGTTCAGAAAACAGAAACGCAAAATGCGATTTAATAATAGAGATGTCCGTACTTTCGACGGTGTCTATAGGAAATTCTCCCTTGAAGAAATAAAAATGTTTAACTGCACAATGGGATTGAAATGGCGTGAACTCGCCAAACGATTTGTTATTTGTGCAAGGAATGATCGGTTACAAGTTGAATAAGAAAATTCTTTTCTAAAAAATCTTCAAGAACTCTCGCATAAATGCGAAGTAAACAACAACAGAGACGTCGAAATAGGCACTTCTTAGTTTATGCAGATGCTGAATTCAAACTGGATCGACGCTAAGGAATTCTTAGAGGATATTGTATCCATCATTGATATGACTACCAGAAAAGTGAAAATCTTAGTATTTGGAGGACCAACCAATAGGGTAAAACACTAATGGTGAAGTCAATAAATCCGTATCTAACGGTAATGAACATTGAAAATTTTAAATCCTTTATAATGATTAATCTAATATTGTTTTTGCTCCTTATAGCTCGGTACGGTTTGTCGCCGTGGTGATCAAATTGCGTTCCAATTTGACAATTTCTTAAATAGAACTGTAGCCCTCATGGAGGAACCTCGCATAACCACGACAACCAAAAATAACTTTAAAATCTCCTTAGTGGAGATACATTTGAAATCGACGTCAAAAATGGTGCAAAGAGATTCCTTGAGCCCATTCCTGTTATTGGAACCACGAATGAGGATTTGGGCGCTTTGTTGAAGTCAATCGAACGAGCTTCTCTGTACTCTAGAGTCAAGGAATACAAGCTTGATGAGCAAACAACATCAGAATTAATTAAAGGCTCCATGCCGAAGTGTAAAGCTACATTATGTACGTGCCATCTGCGTGAGCTTTTCAAACGTTTTGGCTTCTACGGAGATAAAGTGGTGGAAATTGTAGTTCCGGAAAATGTGGAATTTATTTATCAAACTCTTAAAAGAAGGAGTTCTGAAGAGTACGACATTGAAGAGGATGGATTCATAATTTGTATTCCTCCTAAAGCATGAATATTTGTTCTAATGTATTAATAAAATAAATGTTTTTTTTCTAAATGTATTAAAAGTCTTTGTTCTACTATCTCATTATTTTTGAGATAGTAGTGAGAATGGGAGGTGAGAGAGCAGACGATGAGCCAAAACCTAGGGAAGAGGTTCTGAGAAGGGAGACTAGAGATGCAGAAAATAAGACTGCATCAATGTCTAATCTGGCTATGTCATTTGGAAAATTGTTAACATATGGCTATACTGGTCACTTTGCGATATTTAGAAATAGATTCATAGTGACAGTACCTGGTCTTTATAAAAACACAACGGACAGCTTTTGTGTTAAATACTTCATTTCTAGAACCGTCTATCTACAAGTACTGGCATGGAGACATTAAAGCGGTATTGAATTCAAAATGGAATCAAACTTATCCTTTTGTTTCATTCGGCATGGCAAGGATAAAAGTCAGTAGATTGTTAACATCAACAAGACAAGCTACTGGTGGTGTTGTCTCAGTGGACAAGTACCAGTTCGATTACTCTAACTACATGCTAGTTGATATAAGCAAAGATGGTTTCCCTAGGAAAATTAAACCGGTAAAGGAGTTGTACAAATATGAAACCATTTGCAGTAAAGGTGGTATAAATATGTATCGGGCATGAACGCGATGGACATGCTAGTGGTCAAAACTGCTGGTGCAGCAGGAGAATTTCAATATGAATCTAAAGGACCAAATCTACTATTTAGATACTTTTATGAGAATCCTCTACTGACCGCAGATGACAATAATTTCTACATACTACCATGGGATTATAATGCAGAGTCATTGATGATGAAGAAATGCACCAATTTCCAACCACCTGGACCTGATAATTAGATCATAGCACTGCAAATGCCTTTTCAAAACTGCTTGGATCAATCAATCAAAATCGTCTTTGTGCATGGCAATGTAATGATAGAAACGGAATTGGAGATGACCTTCTATTTCTAGATGGAGCACTTATTATAAAACCATCCTTCTCTAAGTCATACTCTTCGGTGGAGGATCTGCGAGGAGTTGCATAAATGTATTCTACACCTTGGGCAGCTTCTATGCGCTTTACGGGGTCTCCATAAAACCCATAGCGCTTGAATAGCTCGCGTAAGTGACTAGAGCATAACGTAACGGGACATTTGACTATGGTCCCTTTTATCAACACGGAACTTATTTGTTCATTTAGTGAGTATTGCTTGATGCGAGAGTAAAGTGCCACCCAGTCAACGGAGGTGAGGAGTGCCAACAAGTCCTCATTCGTCGCAGCAATTGCGGGAATTCGGGGGAGAAACCTTCTTGTACCGTATTTTACGTCAATCTCAAATCGATCACCTCATATTAGGCATTTATAATCATTCTTTGTAGTCATAGTAATTCGTGGCTCCTCCATTAATGCCAAGGATCTATTAAGGAGATTGTTAAAATGAAAAGCGGTTGATCACCACGGCGAAAAACTGTACCGAGATATAAGAAACAAAGACAATATTAGATTAATCATTACAAAGAATATATAATTGTCACTGTTCCTTACGGTTACTCCCTTAACGACTTGAGCTCATTAATGTGCAATTCCACCTACAACATCACAAGCATATATTCATCCGCCTCCACATAACAATCCAATTTCCCAACCCAATCAACCACATCGTTCTCCTCCATCTTATTTTCCTAATGGTCTTCCGTATTTCCGCAGTCTTATTCTCCAATTCAACTACATATTAAGCATCACTAGTCTTTCCCTCAATCTCTCTTCATGACTTCCTCTTCAGGAACTGGCTGATTGTCCACTCTTTCACTTATGCTTTCACAGATCAAGCAGTTACATTTAGAAATTGATTCAGTCGACCTGTCCCACGTCTGCTGACTGTACCTGTTTTTGTTCGAAAATATAACAATTGATCTCCAAATCGGCATTTGTAGCTAATATCTGATTGGCCCTCTTGCATGGGATGCCCAGACACCACATGTCATTCGGCCAATCAGAACGCCCAGGTAATTGGCGGGGCGGGCGGAGAGGACCGGAGCGTACGAAGACCGAACAAATAGAGGAACGAATAGTTTTAGATCCGGATGAATGTGTGCAAAACTGGTCTGAGTGAGGAATGGCGTATGGAATGTTCTAGGACAAGAATATGATTGGTCAATATGTAACCCGTCTTATATATGATTGGTTACGTATTGACCAATAGCAATGTTTGATAAAAACTAGAGAAACTGCGCCACGACCATGGGATGCCCTTCCGCCCCATGGCCTTCGACTAATCAGAACGCCCCAGGCGGTTGGCGGGGCGGGCGGACCGGACACGGGCCGGATGGACTGAGTAACGAATAGTCTTAGGTCCGGGACGTGCTAAGCTGATTAGAAGGTAACTATAGTTTCATTACTTATATACCATTTTACAATGTAATATGTCGTTATACTTTGGAAATTATTTTTAAAAAATCGTACTCTTTCTCAATATTTTCAAATCTAGCTTGCTTTTCATTAAATGTTCGTAACTAATTTTGCCACTTTCGTATTGATTCCATTAGTGGTGCGTAATTACTGCTTTTTCTGTCCATAGGTAATTCTAATACATTACTTTTTCTTCCCGTGGCCGTCTCTGACCTAGTTTAGGGTTTTCTTGCACCGTAGTGGAGCAAATCTTTCTTAATATCATTTAATGTCAACTTTCGGTTAGTTCTGTTCAAACGGATCTTTCCAGCTATTGAATTGCCAGATTGTTCTAGCATTTCTTTATCATCTCTAATTTGCATTAATAGCTCATGAGCATGTCGCATTTTACTCCAACGCTCAGCAGTCTAACGCTCCACAGATGTATTCCGATGTGGATAATTTGGTGGTAATTTTTTAGGCTTCGGTAACCTTAACGCCATATTGTTCTGACGAATTTGGGAGGTATGCGTCATTGCGTGTTCATAATTTTGGTGGGAGGACATCTATCACTGTAGCAGTTTCCATAGGGGAAGGGGGGGGGGCAGGGATCCCACGGCATTCATTGGAGTGTTTGGATCTTGTTCCAATGATTGGTGTGTTTCTGTCTGGAACTCACTCTCGAGTTTAGAGTTAATCTCTCCCCTTTCATTACCATCTGAAGGTTCTTCCTTAATGGGTCTTTGTTCTTCATCTGGAACCCCTGCGTCCTTGTGGTTGATTTATGGCTCTTTGTCCTCCGATACATTTCGGTCAATTTCAATAAACCTCTAGATTAAATCTAAAATATCGTCATCTATATTTGTAGATTGAGAGAATGTCACTTCAGCAACGTCGGCCACTTGTTCAACAGCATTCGTTGTTGTTGTGAAAGTCTGTCCTAGACTGAAACTAAAAGCTTCAGTAATTCTACCAAGAACTAGTCCAGGTAAGGCGCCTCCTATCTACCCGTATAAAGCTTCCTTTTGAGTATCTTTATCAACGAAAATGCTTTGGTCGTTCTTCAATTTCTTCATTTCCGGTTCCTCGTCTTGCTTAATTTCTTCCGATGGTTCTTGTTTAGTTTCTTGTTCGAATTCCGGTGGTTCCCACTCATATCCATATTGGATAGGTAGCTCAGTTTGAGTTGATGCTGTCTACTCTCTGGGCATTCGATTGTGCACTTGCAAACTAAATTCGTTACACGGTACAATTACTCCAATAACGTTGTCATTAACTGTGAGCATACCACATTCATAGTGTATACTCTCTTTAGTATCAATGGGTATATCAACCTTCTCTACAACACCTCCGTCCTCAAGAACGACAGGCATATTAATGAATTAATTTATTTAATGTAAGTTTAATATTCTAACACAGTTGGCCTTGATATAAGTGGAACGTCACTTCTAGCTCTGTTTCTATCATGACATTGCCATCAACGAATACCATTTTGGTCGATTGATTCAAACAGTTTTCAAGGGCATTTGTAGTGTCATGATCTGATTATCAGCCCCGTGGTAATATATGGAAGTTGTTTTCATCCGTTGAGAGTAGAGGATTCTCATAAAAGTATCTAAACGGTGGATTAGGTATTTTAAATTTGTGATGAGATTCTCCAGATGGTCCAACAGTTTTTACCACTGACATGTCCATTACATTCATGACAGATACGTAGATACCAACTTTACTGCAAATTGTTTCGTACTTGCACAATTCTTTAACTGGTTTTATTTTGTTTGGAAATCCGTCTTTGCTTACGCCGAGTAGCATATAAATGGAATTATCGAATTGGACTTTGTCCACAGAGACAGCACCTCCAGTAGCTTGCCTCGTCGAGGGTAATAGTCTACTAACTTTAATTGGTGCCATTCCAAAGGAAACAAATGGATGTCTGATTCCACTTTGAATTTAACACAGCCTTATTGTCTCCATGCCAGTACTTGTAAATGAAGGGTTCTAGAAATGATGTGTTTAACACAAAAGCTGCCTGTGCTGATTTTTCCGTTGCATTCTCATTAAGACCGGGTACAGTAACCATGAACCTATATCGCAATATTGTTTAATGACCTGTATAGCCATAAGTTAGTAATTTTCCAAATGGCATAGCTGGATTTGACATGTCAGTGGTCTTATTTTCTGACCCTCCAACAGCCTTTGCATCTCTAGTCTCTCTACTCAATACTTCTTCAGGTACTGGTGCGTCGTCTGCTCTCTCACCTCCCATCCGCAATAGAAATCACAAAACAGAACAAACGCTTTTATACATTGAGAAAAAACATTTGCTTTATTGATACATTTAAAAATATATTTATGCATTAGGAGGAAGTCTAATAATAACACCATCTTCCTCGGTTTCATATTCATCGGTAGAAGATCTTCTAGGAGTCGTATGGATAAATTCAGTTCCTTCAGGAACTTGTATTCTCTCTATTTGGTCTCCATAGAAGCCGTAACGCTTAAACCGTTCACGATGGCAAGCACAGAGAGTCACAGGACACTTTGATATTGTGCCCTGAATCAACTCGGACGATATTTGTTCATTAAGATTGTACTGCTTGACTCGCGAATACAAAGCAGCTTTATCAATGGCTGTTAAAAGCGCCCCCAAGTCTTCATTGGTAGTACCAGTGACATCTATCTCGAAACGATCACCTTCTAATAGACATTTATAGACATTTTTCGTTGTCATGGTGATCCTTGGCTCCTCCATAACGGTCACTGTCTTGTTTTATAATTTGCCAAAGTGGGAAGCAGTCTTATCACCTCGTCGACACACTGTTCCGAGCTATAAGGAACAAAGACAATATTACATCAAATGTACATGTTTGAGAGAAATGATTTGTACTCCTGCATAAAACAATACAAGTTGAATGAACAAATCAAATCTGTCTTAATTCGTGGAACAATACCGGAATGTCCTGTCACTTTATGTGCATACATGGAATAAGATTGTCAATGTTCCTTACCGTTAGATTTGATGCGATAAGACCTGCTAGAAGTGTCTTCCCAGTGTTGGTGTTCACCTTCGTAGTTTCTTTATCCATAATCATGACAATATCGCGAAGTAATTCATCAATGTTTATACCATTTTGAGTAACATCATCAACCAGTTGGTACCGATATTAACTTCCCGTGGATTTTTCACATAGCAATCACATAGCTTCAGTTTTCTAAGTTTTCCAGATAACTAATAATTTTTTCCTCTTGCAGTCGCTCCGCGTTTAAACTTTGTATCTGCTGTTTTGCAACCTCGCGCCATTGCACGCCAATTGACGTATTGAGGTCCGTTATTTCCCCAACAGAAAACTTGGAAAACACCTCATCGAACTGACGAACGTCCCGACGCCTCAATTATTCCAAGAGATTATTATATTTGCCGTGTCGACTTTCTGCCCTTTGAGTTGCATTGATCGCATTGCGCGTCCGCCGAATATCTGACAGGCATGCTATCTGAGGTTCAATGGGAGGCGAATTTTGCGCCATCTCCCACTCTTCGTGTAGCTCGGTGCTGACCTCGTGAACTGTCTCGCGGAATTTAAAATACTGTAGAATCAAGTAAACGTTCCGTACTAATTGCCAAGTGTTTTTCACTAACCACCAATCGTTAGCAGAAACAAGGCAATCGTTAAGTAGACGATCAACTTTACGGTACACATTGTCTCGCGCTTGAATGAGCACATGCATGTGGTGATCGTGTTCAACATATGGACAGCTTATTGCTGTAGGCATCTTCCCATAGTTGTGCAGTATTAATGTATAATAGTACCGACGAGGAGTGAATGGAACTCCTCCCATGGAAACGTTATCATTTGGAAGCGAATCTTCAGTAACCAGCCCAGGAGGTATCAGACTTTGCTGTCCCTCTCCCATGTTTCCCAGTCTTTGGGCAGACGGGAAGATCTCCTGGCAGTCTTCGATGTCGAAGGGGTCGAGTCCAAGAAAGCTTGGACTATTGGGTCGTTCATGTTCAAGTCTGGTAGAGGTGGTCGGTAATTAACAAAAACAACAACTTTTATACTTGCAGAAAAAACATTTATTGTATTGATACATTTAAACAATTTAATTTTTGGTGGGATACGAATTAGGAATCCATCCTCCTCTATATCGTACTCCTCCGTGGATGTTCTCCTCGGAGTCTGATATATTATTTCTGCATTTGGGGGGACGTCTATCTCAAGGACTCTATCTCCGTAAAACCCATATCGTTTGAATAAATCTCGAAGGTGGCAGGCACACAATGTCACTGGCGCCTTTGAAATAGTACCATTAATCAATTCAGACATGATTTGTTCCCTCAATTGGTATTCCTTTACACGAGAATACAGAGCTGCTCTATCAACAGATGTCAATAAAGCACCCAGGTCTTCGATTGTGGTTGCAATTATAGGCAGTCTGCCTAGGAACCTTTTCGCGCCGTATTTTACATCAATTTCAAACTCATCACCCCCAAGAAGATTCTTGAAGTCGTTTTTAGTTGTCATCGTAATATGAGGTTCCTCCATGAGTGCCACAGTACGATTTAACAGGTTATCGAAATGGAAAGCAGTTTGGTCTCCACGACGACACACTGTACCAATCTATAAGGAACAGAGACAATCGTATATCATTTGAAATAAAAGGATATAAAATTATCAATGTTCCTTACTGTTAAATGCGAATTAATTAGTTTGGCCATTAGAGTTTTCCCCGTATTTGTCGGACCACGGAAAACTAAGGTGTTCACTTTACTGGTCTTCATATCTATGATAGCCACAATAACGTCTAAAAGTTGCTTCATATCTATACCATTGGTGTTTAGCATCATCATGAGCCATGATGCGCCAAGTTCCAGGTCTTTGGGGTTTTTGACCTTGCAATTGTGAGATAATTCTTGGAGATTTTGCAAGTAAGTATTCTTCTGTTCCTTCTCAAGGCGGTCATTATTGGAACGAACAATAAATTGTTTTGCAAGTTCTCTCCATTGTAAACCCATTGAACATTTTAATTTCGGCGAGGCTGAATTTGCGAAACACGTCATCATAGAAACGCACGTCTCTTCGTAAAAGCTCATCGGCCAATCGATCGTATTTTGCACTCTTTGTATCTGATCGAATGGAGACCATAGACTTTAAGCGCGCTCTTCGTATATCAGAATCGCATAATGAATTGGGTTGTATTGCCGGCATATGTTTTGCAATATCCCATTCTTCCCTCAGTTCGTAACCGACTTCTTTGACCTCACCACGATATTTAAAGTATTGAATTAACTGGAAGACGTTTCGCACTAATTGTCTTGTGTTTCTCAATGCATACCAGCCATCCAAAGGGACTAGACAGTCATTGAGTAGGCGGTCTATCTTCCTATTGACATTGTCCCCCGCTTGGAAGAGAACATGCATATGGTTGTCGTGTTCTACGTAGAGGCAACTGATTGATGACGGTACTTTTGCGTAGTTTTTCAAAATGGTTACAAGTATCTTCTCGGAGGAGATCGATTTGAAATCGACGTTAAATTTAGTTCTAGGCGATTTCTGAGCCGCATTCCTGTCATTGGTACAACAAATGAAGATTTGGGTGCTCTTCTAACTTCAATTGATCACCCAGGCACTCCTCGTCTACACTTTATGGAGCAGGAACGACGATCTGAAGAAGTGTCAGCCTCCTCTTCCAGAACTGAACTTGAGCGATCCAGGAGTCCAAGCTTTATTGAACTTGACTCCCTCTACCTCGAAGAAGGCCAACGGCTATTCTCGTCTGCCCAGCGATTGAACGAATTAGAAGCGCACACGGAAGTTGCGCTATTTGATGGGATGGCATTTCCTTGGCACGAGTTTCAGTTCCTTTTGGGAGACACTATCTCACGTTGATAGTGGGGAACTATCGTAAGGTACCAACCTCCATCAGTTGTCTTAGTGTGGAATAAGAGGACCACATGCATGTTCTCTTTTAGTCCAAAGACAACGTATCAAGAAAAGTTGACCGGCTTTTAAACAAATGTATTGTGAATGTGGACCACTGGAGGCCAAAAGTACCCGACAATATGTTCGCGATGTATACTTACTTATCCAATACTGTAAATTAAGAGGCGAATTCAAAAAAGTAGACAGTGAATTACGCGATGAATGGGAAGCGGCACAAGATGTACTGCCTGTAACTCCTACTATAAATTTCTCATCAGATTTAAATCGAGTGCGCAACAAAACAGCTTCTATTCAACCTTTGAACAATAGATAGCAAAATTTGAAGCTCTATTAAGACAATTGGAAAACAGGCTGATGCGTCAATACGAAGATATTTTTTAGGTTTTCAGCGTACAAGAGATAACAACTTTAAACTCTTCCATTGGTGTCCAATTGTAAAAGATTATTATCTTAGTAAAGAATTTTCTTAATGATTTGATATTGCTTTCTATAATAATATGGGAAAAATGTAAAAATGTACGTAAGAAAAAGTTACCTCGGCAGAAGTATCTATACTTCCGAAATCATTGCACACGTCATCCATAGGGGCCTGCCTACCTATTAATAAGAAGGATCTCAATTATGAACCACTATTGGAGGCCATTAATAAATGGGAAAACAATTTAGGAACTTATGAAAAACGCAATTCTCAATATCAAGGTTTTAAAGTTGGACATGCCTAATTAAACCGGATCGGTTGTGCTCACATCCATCCCGACCTAAGACTATTCGTTACTCCAGTCATCCGGTCCGCCAACCACCTGGGCCGTTCTGGTTGGTCGAAGGACATGGGGCGGGAGGGCATCCCATGCAACAGGGCCAATCAGTCATTAGCCACAGATGCCGATTTGGAGATCAATTGTTGTATTTGCGAACAAAAAACAGGTAGAGTCAGTAGACGTGGGGGCAGGTCGACTGAATCAATTTCTAAATGTAACTGCTTGATCTGTGAAAGCATAAGTGAAATAGTGGACAATCAGCCAGTTCTTGAAGAGGAAGTCATGAAGAGAGATTGAGGCAAAGACTAGTGATGCTTAAGATGTAGTTGAATTACAGAATAAGACTGCGGAAATACGGAAGAAAAATAGAAAAATAAGATGGAGGAGGACGATGTGGTTGATTGGGTTGGGAAATTGGATTGTTGTGAGAAGGCGGAAGTTGTTAAGGGAGTTAATGATTGTGGAGAAAGCTGAATTTTGCGGGACTGGACGACAGTAATGTTTGTGGCTGTGAGAATGATGAACTTGACTGCAGACGTTGTGTGACTGCAATAGAAAAAAAAGGAATAAGAGACAGATGTGGCAGTGGTGGAAGTTGGAGGAGGAGGAGTAATGTGAGGATGATGATGAGGAGGGAAGGAGGAGGCGAAGTAGATGTATGTTGTGATGATTAAGATTGACTGATGCAGTGAATTCGTCACAACACACTTGGCACACTAAGGACTTCTCACCAGTATGAAGTCGCTGATGGGTTATGCAGGCACTGTTGGTTGAGATGCACTTCCAGCAATATGAGCTACCAAATTGCTTTTCATCGAATGTACTCTCAGTTGGATTGCAAGGAGATATGGTCGGAATATTTGTTGTGGCAAAATGTGCAATGTGTGTGCTTTATCGTTCCACTGATGTGCTTCTTGATGTTGATCAAGCGAGTGGAGTGTGTGTTTCCTCGGAGGTGGAGATGGAGTAAGTGGGTGAGTCAGTGTAAGCGATGGGTGGATGGTATGTTTAGGTGGAGTTGATAGGAAGGTGCAGGAGAAGAGTGTGGGTGAGCGTTCTTGGGGAGTTGATAAGTGCTGCGATTGGTGTTAGGTTGTTAATTTTGGAAACTGCCTGTTGTAGGAGTTTACATAAGTGGAATGATTGATTTGTTTGTGATGGTGGAAGTGATGCATTGGAGTAGGATGAGGAGGTGGTAGATGTTGCGGTTGTGAAGGTGAATGCGATTTTTTATATTGGAGATATCGGATGGCGAGTTAAAGTAGTTATTGGAAGTAGAAAAAGAAGGAAAATGAGAAGATGGAATAGAACAGGAAGTGCAAGAAAATAAGATGGAGATAAAGAGACAAAGTTTGATGAGTGAAGAAGTAAGAGGATGGGAAGAGAGAGTGTTTGATGAAATTGAACCTAAAGAATAATGATAGAGTGAAATAGGGGGCAGACGGGAAGATCTCTTGACCTTCATGAATGCAAATTGGGTTCGGTCCGCCCACCCCGGCAACCAGCTGGGGCAATCTGATAGGTCTACGGCCATACCATTCTAGAATCAACTTCTACGAGCCAGATTATTTCAACACAGAACTTCTATGTAAACTCGAGTTACGTAGAGTGATCCACTTCGATGACGTCTACTATGACTTTACGTCGGAGATCGCAAATTTATAGCCTACGTTTAACAGTAGCTAAATCCCACCGGACGATGAACGATTTCATGATATTTGATGGGAAATTTGCTCTCATGGCCTCCACTGTATTAAGTTAGTTCATAAAACACTATCTATTTGTGGGAATTCCTGATAGCTCAAGCACACATTTGCATTTTTACTTCAACTGAGTTCCTAACATTACGAGAAAGTAGATTATTTACTCACTCAAAATGAACGCTCCACTAACAAGTAGAAAAATAAGATATTCATTGATTTCTTAAATCACGTGAAATTTTCCCTACAGATTTAGCTTAATGTCGGCAACGTTAAAATTCGACGTTCTTAAGTTCTTTTGCATACGTTGAAATACAACATTTCATCTTCAGATAAAAGTGTCATTAGCCAATAACAATGTAGTCCTATAATTATTTTAACAGCAGTTCAATTTTCCACTTCAAATAGCATTAAGTTTGACTTTGAAATTGACACGAATTCAAAGCCATTGTATTTTTGTCTCAGAAAGGCTATTACAATTAAAAAATTTAAATGGCTGTGGTATTTGAATTCTTACCTCTGAATAAAACTAGCGTAAATAACCCAATTTCAATGCAGGTACAAAAGAAAACGTTAAAGATTAAATGATGATGTCTCCTTATCCCGAATATACCGCAATCGCAATTTAAAGCAATGAAAAAATTCTAAATTTAAATGAGACAATTGTCAAACTCCCTAAGCCTTTACCAAATGCACTTCTTTATTTGCTTTACAGCTAAAGGTTCAAAATTTGGAAAGATAATTGATATGAAAAAAATGCAGGTAAGGAATCGTTAGAAGCGTCACCACACGATGCTTCAATCTGTGAATTTTCCACTAGCAAACAAATGAAAATCAATTTGTGAAACATGTCATAACAAAAGTGTCGTTTATGAGAACAGACATGCACTTTGAAGATCCCCCTACCGATAGGTAAACTCCTTTCTAATGGTAATTGTTGTCTGATGGGTGTTAACAGCAAAAGGCTAGGCAGTGTTGATTGTCTAGCATACATATCTTGTTTTCACCACCTCTCCAAAACGGATCACATTTTATCAAATGGAATGCAATAAAAGTTTTAAATTTCGTCGGTTGGATTTGGGAGTGTTGGTCGCTCTCAGCAACTTCGACAATATATGCGTGGCCTTACTTCAAACCAATACAAGGCCCCACAATAAGCACTTCTGTATTAAATTTATGTTATAAAATATTTAAAATTACATTTATGGTGGAAGCGAAATTTATTTAAGTAAACCAAGAATTCATGAAACGTAATAAAAGTAGTTCATTTCAGATACGTGAAAGTGGGTTATCTAGCTATTGCATGGGAATTTTGATGAAAAAATGTGAATTTCCATAATTTGATAAGTCGTCATAAAGCTGTGAAATGCTTATTATCGTTTTATGGAGATTCTCATTAATAACGACAAAGTCTGCGATGTCCCCAATTCCACTTTGACTTGCAACACTTTTTTGGAATGTGTCCTGTGTGTGTGTGTATGTGTGTGTGTGTGTGCAGACAAGGAGCTTAGACATTATATCAATATGACGAGTTTGATAAAAGAAGCGGTAATTACTGCTTAGCTATTGGTTGGGAGCACTCCGCAGTCACGTAGTACCTACTCCTAAGCGAGGTTGCACGACGCACCTTCAAACCTCTTTGGGTGCACATGAGATTACTTTATTCTGCCGTGACAACGTTGTGTGCTCCTCAAACTGCGCATTTCTTGTCTGTATTGGCCGATAGGTTTTGGTTCACTCTTCTCAATTTAGCCAAGTAAGGTAAAAGATACTTTCTCAGGTACTAGTCAGTAAGTTGTTCACAAATGAAAAATAAATTACGAAGAGACTTATGGAGTTAAAGTTTTATTTAACGATTTATAATTCTGTAATGGGGAGTGCGACAGACTTACCTCCACGTGGTGCACCCTTGGCGACGTGCACTTACAAGGCAAAAATGTCTATAAACCAACAGCTGACTTCTCACTTCAAACTACCATGACCCCACCGTATGTTATATTCGACCCCTTCCACAGTACTCACTACACCTTTAATTTTCACTATATTTGTGTTTGTCTCTTTTACGTCTGTGATTCATTCTTCTATTCCCTCCTCTCCACTTTTCGCACTTCAATGTTCCTTCCCTCTGTGAAGCCCGAAGTCAGCTAAAAGGTTAAGGGTGGCTATCAAAACGCATGCCATTTGAAATAATAAATGAACAATTCCCTCAATGGTATTTGATTACTTCATTAATATTTTCCCTCTCAGTTGGAGGGAAAAAATTTGCCAACACCAAGTTTGTCATGAATTCATCAATACTATTTTGATTGGTGACGAAACTTCAAAATATTAACTTCTTCATCTAATTGGTTGATGTTTAATCGTTACAGAGCAACTGATATGAACGTGAATTAGCACTCAGAGTCTGCAAATTATCTGTTTGGGAAAGCTTAATATATTGATTAAAATGTCACCAATTGCTCAGAACATCTCAAGTTGCGTTAGGGTACTAGTTATTGGGTACAGAGTCATAGAGAAATGCAGTTTTAAAGACCCTAATATACTGATCTTCAATGCCGTTGGTGGGGAGGAGGGGGGGGGAGGGGGTGGGTGTTGACTAGAGTGGTTATGCACTTTCGAATGGTCAGTAGGTCCAAATGTGAAAAATCCTCAATGTAAATATTAAATTTAAATTTGCATGAATTAAACACAGGAACAAAATTCACTGTGCATATTTTTAAGTAAGTATTCATCAGTGAATTGCTGTCGATATATCACTCACTCACTCACTCACGCACACGCACAATATCCTCAATAAGATACATACTCCATGGCCGCAAGCACATCATGTGGAATTTGTATGTTACCTCTGCTTGGAACGACTGGAAGGCCTCTAACATGCGACCACGAGTTCCACTTTGGATGTCTGGAATCATGGAGTAAGAATAATTCGAATGATGGCAGATGCAAATGTCCTCTGGCCAACTGTGACCAAATATTCACCTGCATGCAAGTTAAAACAGCGATACCGGGTGGGAAGCCACAGTATTTTCCCGTTGGAGGTAAATATGCCTGCAACAATTGTTCTGATTTTGTCAACTCACCGGCGCTCTCGACCAATGGATGCGATCATTACTTCTGTTCGAAGTGCATTTCAGAGCTCATGAACAATGAGCACATTTGTCCTGTCGATAAAAAGACATATACTGATATTAAGGTATCCACGTGTGTTGGAGCTCCACCAGTGGCCACGGTGAGTTGGAATCCCCCTTTCTTAGCCTTGACTCCTGCCGTTAATTTGAACTGGCACACTAATGAAGCTCAGTAACTTTTGTAGATTTCTTTGGAAAAGACTCGTGGTCCACTAAGCCATGACGAACTCCTGAAAATACTTTGGACCTCTTCTTAAATTAATGCCGGCATTGTGGTCCAGTGGATTGGAATAATTTTTATTGAATGAGAAATAAAATATTATTACTGGATTGGCATTTTAACATGGGTTCGGTATTTAAATGGTTGCAAATCTGAGGTATATTTATATGCATATTTTAGACTTGGTATACTTATGCGTCCTTTAACTGGGGATTGCTTATGTCCATGTGGATGGATATGCGTGGACCGGCTTCATATACTTCAACACCAAAGGTTCTGACCCCCTTTTGAAGATAGATTTCACATTTAGTTTATATTTGTTTTAAATGGCAGACGTTTTGATAGCTATCATTAGCCCTTTAGTTGACTTCAGGCTTCACAGAGGGGAGGGAACATGAAGGTGAAAATAGGTCGTTTAGCGGGGCAGAATAACGGAACACGTATGGCAAAGAGATAGACACAAAGTTAGAGAAGGAGGTAAGATGAGTACTAGGTAAGTGGTAGATTATGACATGCCGCCGGGTCATGGTGGTTTGAAGTGAGAAATCAACTATCGGTTAATGGACATTTTTGCCGTGTGAGTATACGTTGACCAGGATGCACCACGTGGTGGTAGGTCTATTGCGCACCCCTTTTTAGAACATTTTATAATTGGATACTGACATACTGACAATAAATCAACACTAAGTTCTAAACGGCACAAGTCGTATCTCCCCGTATCATTTGCCAGTGGGATGGTTAAAATTATTATGCTATTCCCGTCGACTGGGGATGTGGCATTTAGTAGATAAAGATCAATTTGATGATTCCAATTGTAAGCTATTGGGAGTAAGTGAAGTCGGTTTCCCAACACAATTGAGACTTGTGAAAAACATATCAAAATATGAAATTATTTGTAATTAAAGTGGGTTATTGGTAACATATATATAAATGGGTGTGGCAAGCCTATTATGTAAACCAATATAAAATCTGGAGAATTTTAATATGAATTCAGTGTACAAAATGCGCCATTTAGATGCTACTATGCCAATCCTATGTTTGATGAAGGCTAATTCTATATGCTACATAGACATTGTAGTGGTTTACCATATTTTAGTATTAAATCTATATTCTTCTAACCGCCATCATCGTAGAGCTTAATGATTGTTTTTCAAATGCCTATTCAAAAGAGGCCTTCATGAAGCCATTGAAATGGTATTTCTTCTTAGCAATGTCGTTGTTGAGGCAGAGTAGGAAGGCTACTTTCACTCAAAGTCGAAACATGTACCTGACACTGAGAAAAGAACCTGTATTTATTCGTGGCTATCATCTCAATTGCAAAGTGATTAAAGACGTATTCGATCATGCTCTTAGTAAATAAATGTATTTACTAATATGCTCGTTAGTCTCGAAAACAGGTGTGTTATACTGGAGGTAGTTGAGAGCATACAGTATGAAATTAGTATGCTCACGGTTGAGGGATATCATACCGATGAGGTTTCCCCAAGTATGTGTGCAAGTGCCGAAGGACATGGGGCGAGATGCCATCCAATGGCCGAAGGCCAATTGTATCACTGAGTGCTTTGAGGGAGGCTAGTCCGATCGGTTCGTCGGAGTGAAATGGATGAGTAACGCAGTTTAATTGGTTAAAATTCATTGGCTCATTCATTCTATTGACTATTTTACAACCAATGGTGTGCTTCAGCAAAACTATATAAATAGCACCGAACCTATTCACAGATAGTCAGTTATGGAGCATGCGATGAGATCACGAGCTACGTTATCGCGCTCCTCTGGTTCCAGATCTCGCAGCAGATCCAGTAACGCAGAACTTCTATATAAACTCGAGCAACGTGGAGTGACCCGCTTCAATGAAGTTCACCGTAAATTTACGCCGGAGGAAATCACAACGCTCATATCTCAAATAGGTCTCAAATGAGAAATAATCGCCAAGCAGAAAATTGTTTCACACGGGATCTCCTAGAAGATATTGTTGCTATAATGGATAAGAGAAGAGAAAGGGTTAATACTTTGTGCTTTTGTGGCCAAACTAATACAGGCAAGACATTGTTGGAAACCCTCATAACTTCGCATCTAATGGTAATGAACTTTGACTGTATTATTTTCCAGTGTATAATTGATCTAATATTATCTTTTTATTGCCTAATAGATCGGAACAGTACATCAAAGAAGAGATTTTAAATACCTCGTTAATAGGACAGTTGCTCTTATGAGAAAGCCCATAGTAACAAAGGCAACAAAAAACGATTACAAGTGTCTATTTGGTGGAGATCGCCTAGATGTAAATGCAAGTCGTTTTGCACGCCACTTTAAACCTCGAATACCAGTCATAGCCACAGCAAGTAGGGAGCTAGGTGACCAATTGACTTCTGTCGATAGGGCTGATTTGTATTCCTGCATAAAGCAATACAATTTGCATATACAAATCAATTCTCGCTTAGTTCGCCGAGCCATACCCGAATGTCCTGTCTCTTTATACGCATGCCACTTGCGAGAATTATTCAACCGCTATGAATTTTATTAATTATTCAAAAGTATTCAATGAAAAAATAAAAATGACTTTGTACGTGATACACTAGTCCTCTAATAATTTGAAAATTTTGGTGCTGAGTGAGATGGGGATGGAGATCAAACGACCAACCTCTACCTGAAGAGGTGTTTCTCAAAGGAATCAGCTGAAGGCTCAGAGACGCTAAGACAACAACAGTCATGCTGTGACATTTAGAAATAGATTCCTGGTGACCGTACTTGGCCAAGTCGAATATATGACTGAAGAGTCTCAACAAACTGCTTTTGTGTCTAGAACCTTCCCGGAACCTTTTGCCATGAAATACTAGCATGGGGATTATAAGTGTTCACTTAATTCGAAATGAAGCAAGTCGTATCCATTGGTTTCATTAAGAAGTGATAGAATAAAAGTGAGTAGATTAATACCGTCTATATGTCCAGCTACAGGAGGGCCGTTGTGTCTGTTGGTTCAATTCGACAATTCAATTGTAAATTAGTAAATATAAATATCCTACCAAATTGAACCCAGTGGAGGTATTACTCAAATATGGAACTATTTGTAGTAAATGTGGATGTCTTGAATATTCCATTTGCTATGACAGTTGGAACATTAGGAGAATTCCAACTTGAAACCACGCGTACCCATTAATTTGTTGCTAATCTTGTCATTTTTGTACTATGCGTTCAACGTGATGGCTGTGCGACGACACATCTTACCTGCACAAGCACGCCTCCTACTATTCACTTCAAATGTACTTAATTGGTGTGAACCGGTCGACTGAGCGAAGGTGGAGGTGCCTGCACCTCGAGACTATCAGTAACATCGCCCGCTTTGTGATGTGAATTCACATGTGACTCTCTGTACTCAGCCCCTTCCATCACTATAGCCACTCATGGTTCAGCCACTACCACGTGTTAGTCAATACACGCTTATTACACTTTACTTGGGACACATAAAAATTTGCATCAAGCTGAAGGTCTTAGGAGCCGGCAGTTGAGCGTTCCGTCACCCTGGTGCTATCTGGTGGGCCAGGTGGCACACGCCGCTACCACGACTAACAGCCTCGCTCACCACTATACTCCTAGGCCCATCCACATCACCATGCAATCACAAATGCCAACACCATCACTCCACGATTCCTTCGTAGCGTTTGCGATTAAATAGAAGTTAGTAAACCGTCATGTTTTTATTTGCACATTTTGTCATTCTTGTTATTATATACAGTTATTGCACATTTTGGAAACAATTCATCTGCAAGTGAATAAACTTGTTCAACATATTTCTATAAGGTGACGTGATTGAACCTGAATGTGTGCATGACCAAGTGAGAGTAAAAGAAGTATGGAGTCAAATTATCTGTGGATTGTCACAAGAAGTGGCCTTGTTTGTTGCAGTAGTTCTGGAGATATCCTTTTCAATCTTTCTAACACAAGTATGAGTGACTGAATTGAATCGGGTAGAGTGGAGTTGGAAAGATATGAATTGAGTATAGTGGAGTTGCGTAGAGAAGCGTAGAGTAGAGATATGAGCATATGTATCTGAAAACGGGATCATTAGAGGATAGTGGAAGAAGAAGTGGTATGAGCAAAGTCGAAAAGGTGTGCAAAAGCATGAGTGCTTGACAGGTGAAGGGAGAAGTGACTGTGATGGTGATCAATATGGGAGACGTTGAAGGTTTTGGGCCTTGGGTTAGAGAGATGGGAAACTATCCACCTATCTATCCATCTTTCCGTCCATCCATCTCAATCATCATTTTCTGTGTACTAAGAGTAGAAATACATATCGGTTAGAATGTAGCTCTTTCTTTGACTCCAAATTTGAATATATGTTTTGGTGTCAAATCTGCCATATGCTGGTCCTCGTCTTTGAATTTCTCACGTTTGGCGTGGACCTTTCTGCCAGTGGGGTTACTTGAGCAAACCAATTTAAGCTAATTTACGTGGCGGCAAATCAAATTCTCATCAACTTGACCGGGCAAATTATCGACAACAATCAAATTCTTAAAGGCTATCCAATTGAGGCGACTATAATGTATTTGATTGGAACAAAATGAGAGTAGTTAGCAAATAGTAGAGTAGAGTTAAGTAGAGCTAGGTCATGGGTTTATCTAGTCAAGATACTATGGTAAATTTTTCAGGACCAATAGGCTCACTTTCACATTTCATTCTTTCGTAAAATAGAAAGATAGAATTATTGTCAATACGCCGAGGAGCATTATTGAGTTAGTTAGAATTTTTGCCATCAGTATGGACAACAGAGATGCATAAAGTTTTCAATAAGAATGTGAAAATCTCACGTCTCCTTCTCTCGGTACAATTTTTGATGATAATCAATAAGAATTGTACAGAGAAAAATCAATCAATGCTTTGCATGCATTCGAATGGCAACGTTGACTGATAGCAGTGCCAAGATTGATTAACTCGCAATGTTATGCCCAAATTGACATA